TAAGCAGCGTGTACAAACAGCAATGAAGTTGTTGAAAACATGGTGTTGTGCTGAAGACAATGTTCCCTTTTGAGTCTCGGCGTGTTCAACTCAGTGTGATATGCGCAACTCTTCAAGTCTCCTCTCGATCGGCAGAATCAACAACCACCGCCCTCCTGCAGAGGAGCTTGCAAAACGAACCGACGGCGCATGTGGGACTGAGTGAAGTCACGGGCTCTGGATCAGCTCAAACAGGGTTTATCGGGAGATAAGGCACAGCTTTAGACCTCTGAGACATCACTTTGTATGCTCGGAGGATTCAGAATGTACACCATCACACTGATCATATCGTTGCCGCGGATCAGAATCACACACACTGCCTTGTCGGCAGCGCGTTCAGCGTCCAGCGTCCAGCGTCCAGCGTCCAGAGTCCAGAGTCCAGCGTCCAGCGTTCAGCGTCCAGCGTTCAGCGTCCAGCGTTCAGCGTTCAGCGTTCAGCGCCGCGATTCGAAGTGCGCAAAACCAGATTGAGACCTGAGGACGCCTTTGGGGCTGAAGGTCAGGCTGCCGCTCTCTGGGGTGTATCGCTCCTCGGCCCTGATCTCGCTGACCGGGCGCATGGAATTGAAGCTGCTCGACTTGGAGTTGGAGGAGAGGCTCAGCCGGTTGCCCGCCTGCTGCTCGTCCCTATCTACTTTGTGAGCCATGGCGAGGATCCCGCTCCATTCGTAGCTGCCTCTGCTTGACTCGTTGCTGTGCGGCGATGAGGAAGGTGGCGCTGCTGACCTCCGGCAACAACCCAGCAAGAGATTGTCGTCGGCAGCACCCTCCTCTACGTCCCGATGACTATCTGGCACTTGCAACGTCCCTGTGTGCAAGTCTCCTGCAAACAGCAACTCTCATGAGCACAGCATCGACCGTGGTCATCGTGAGTTGCAAGGGACAAGAACAAGCTCTCCCCACCTGCATCGTTGCGACCGATCCCGGCCATCTTCGATTCTTGCCCTCCCATGCCGTCTGCCGGAACTGACGGCCGCAACTTCACCGTCGTTGACTTCTGAAACAATCACCACTAGTACCCACCCTACCCCTTTAGCGTTACTTCGAGTCAAAAAGGAGGGTGTTTCATCATAACCGTCGGTGACCGTCGGCTCTCGGAGGCTCCCGGCCGGGCGGCTCCCGGAACTTCGCCCCGAAGTCATGGCCCGTGCAGTCACTGGAGTCACGCTTTAAGGGCGGCCGGGCCGCGGCCGATCCGACTCGCCGTTCGGCGTGCCCCGCCCCGGTCACCGGGGGGTCGGATCGGATCGGACCCGGCGGAGTCCGATCCGGGCCACTGGCTTCCCCGGGGGTTGCGGCGGCGGCGGGGCCTTCAAGGCTTCGCTCAGCGGTGGGGCGGCACGCGGCCGATCGGCGGGTGCCCGGAAGTCCCGGTACAGCAGTAAAGAAGTGGGCCCGGTACAGTGCGTACCGTTCCTTTTGGGGGGGGCACTGATACTGGTTTAGGCCTCAGTCACACGCACGGCCGCCCGCCGGTCGCCCGGCAGACCCGGCCCCGGCCGGGGCCCCGCTGCGACTCCGCGAGTCACCTGGTCACGTTCAACCGCCCCGGGGGCGGCGGGCCGGCCCGGGCCGCGGGCCGGCGTCCGAGTCACCGGGTGCCACCGACTCGCACTGGCGGGCCACTGCGGCTCCGACTCCGAGGCTCAGTGGCCGCGCAAGTCACCTTCACTGAGTTATCGAGCTGAATCCGGTTCCCGCGAAGAGTCACAGACGAATAGCCTGCCGTCACCCGTTTGGCGATCGACGGGGTCCTTGGGACCACCCGGTGGTGTAACTTCACCTTGTGTGCTGGTCGGGACCAGGGGTACACGAGCCAATCCGCCCTGATTGAGGCCTGTGACGGTGGTGATGGTGGGTTCTCAATGTTCAAGTTGGCCCGGGATTCCAATCAGTCTAGGGGTGGGGTACTAGCAGGACTGAAAAAGCTGATGACACTCGATTAGCAGGGGTCCCCTCACTGACCGTCTAGTATCAGAAGTTCTGAAGGAAACCAGAACCCGTCAAAATTGTGGTAAAACAAGGGGTAGATGAGGGGTCCAATGGTTGATACAGGCACGACTCGGGGGGTGGACTCGGGAAGGACGGCGGTTATCTAGGGTGGGGTCAGAGCATATCGACAACAAGGGGGTGGGGTGCCCTCTCAGGTTATGGAGGATAGGGGTGTTAGTGCAGACTGATTAAGCCCCGGGGGTGGGGTGGGGGGTAGGGCCAGAGGGTATTTGTTGAAGTGGCTGTTGGGAAGAGGCACACAGCCATTGCAATGCGTTTGCTTCGTCTGGTTCCAGGAGCGTCTCTCTTCGACTCGGCCGGGTATGGAGAGGAGAGAAGATGAGAGGAAGGAGTGAGGAGAGGAGAGAAGATGAGAGGAAGGAGTGAGGAGAAGGAGAAGTCTGTTCAAACATCACGTTGTGGTCTTGTTGTGAGAGGGGAGGAAGGAACGATGCGACACTTCCACTCACCATGGTTGATCTGAGCGGCCATGTAGCACAAAGTGCAGAACTGGCATCAGCACAAAGATTGCGTCATCAGTGCAATCAATTTTTGTTATGTCTCCTCGCCCTTCTCCAATCATCATGTCACATTGTGAAACATGCTCGTCACAATTTCCACCAGGTACAACGACGATGGTATCCACACCTGGAACGTCCACAGCCCCAACTGGATCTACCAGGGTGGTCCCAACCAGTCCTGGCAGGACATCCACGATACTACCTACAACCAGTGGGATGGCCTCGATGACTCGACTGCGAGCTGGCACGTAACTCAGGTGATCAGTGATCCTGTGAACTGCCAGGAAGTGACATGTTGAGCAGCCCGTCGACAACCTCAAGGTTGAACAATGGCTCGGCAATGTTATCGGCATGTACTAGATTGAAGATTGAATATTTGTACCGAGTGTTAGTACAACGCAACCAACATTTGAGATGTTCTTCACGCACTCCTGCCTTGGCTCCTTGTGATGTTAGTCTATAGTGCGGGAGCTTGATTCATTCCTGTACCTCGCACGATCCGACGACCGAATGCAGGAATTGCACTTGAAGCTAGGTAGAGTTGTGTTCTATGATGTTGGATTGGATCTGCGGACTGGAGCTCGGGGAAGGGCAAATGCTTTGAGGAAGAGAACTGTCAGAATGGTGCTGAACCGTATGCATCGACTGCTTCTTATGTCTTGTAGGAGGTGGGCGGCGAAGAGCTTCATGCACTACAGCGAGCAACAAGAAAGTATATATAAAATACTTTGAGTTCGTATACAACCTATGCTCTGCTATTCATTCGAAACTTTCAGCATCGCTTGCAGCTCTCACATGAATGGCTCAAAAGGTTCAGTAATGGCAACTGGAATTGAAACGCATCGAGGAGGTTTCTGTCGAAGAGCGCCTCGGCCAAGATTTCTTCAAGGGAGATGTCTGGGACCTTGAGTTGCAAGTTGATTCATGCATGAATAGTTCATGATGAAAACTCAGCCTCAAAGGTCAGAAAACAACTGAGGCTGAAGCTTGTGATAGCCTTCAATGCTCTCCTTTACCTTCCCTGCTGTCTTGACCTTCCCTGCTGCTCTTACCTGGCACTGCCGCCCTTGCTCGTCACAGCTGCCTCCGCCTTCTCTGCCGCTAACACCTTGATGCAGACCTTGTACATGGGTGGTGCCTCATATAGAGAGCAGCAGTGAAGGATACGAACTAGTGGTAACGATCTGCCTGATCTCGTTGCGTGCATGGAGATGTCGGCGGGGCTGCGGGAGGGCCGCGCACGTTGCTAGAGCCGCTCTTGGCATGTTTTCGCACCCAACCTCTCCCCGTTTCGATTTCCGTTAATGGTGAAACGGTCATGCCTAATGGCGTCAGCATGGCCGGAGGGTGTTTGGCAGGGAGGAGGGAAGAGGGACAGGAGAAGTTGTGGAGGAGGGAGGGACTGGCAATGATGAGATGCTAAGGGTAAGGAGAGCGAGGAAGAGAGACAGAGACGAAGATGGAGATGATGAAGGGGTACCGTAATTGAGCAGGAAGAATTTTGGATTGGGAGTGGAGGGCAACAGTTCGTACAACGCACCCGGTTGAGAACATGATGCCGAAGATACAGAGCGAAGGAGGGCAATATGTCCTAGTTGCTTCTTTTATGCTCCGCCTTAGATCAAGTCAAGCATGCAGTGAGCGAGGGCTCCTCCGCGGCTAGAACGCATCGAGCGTAGCAAGGCTCTGTGCCCTCAAGAGACTTTTCATCTGTGAGGAGATAATTGCATCATCAACAGCACAGCTATCGCTGTACACGCACTGCAACCGTGTCTGGATAGCTAGATATTGAAGATGCTGGACTCTATCACATAGTTAGCCAGCGGCTAAGGTGTTTTGTGTACTGCCTGTGGGTACTGCCTGAGTTCCGAGTCTCAAGCTCCCATCCCCCGTTCCCCAGTCCTGACGAAGATGCGCTGTCAGGTTACAAGGTCAGTCAGCCATGGATCTAGGCAACACTCTCGCTTGGATGATTTTCTTGACCTGCTGGTGACCCTGCTCATGACGGTTTGATCTCCGTGCTCACTCAGTCGCAGTACTCTCGGTGTTTGCGCGTTGCTGGGTTGGTACTCTCGACGCATCGGTGCACAGTAATCCTGCCGCCTTTGGTCTAGAGCAAGTGGCTGTTGCCGCATTTTCTTGTATTCTTTCCGTGAACGTTATTTCAATGATCTCCTTCACCACAGCCGCGGTGACTCCGACAGTCTGTGTGCCGCACTGTGTGGCATCGACATCAGAAGCCGTGTGGTCGCCACCCGATGCCGATGCTTCCGCTCTACAAGCCTGTTCACCTTTGCGGCAGCTGTCATGTAACTCCGAACACTGTAATCATCTGAGCCAAGTTGAGCGAGCCGTGCCGCCGGTCCCGTCCGCCGGCACCGCGATCGGACCGCCGTGACTCGGAAGTCCGGCGGCGGCGCCGCCGGCCGCCCGGCGGGACCCGGCCCGCACTAGCTGTCCGGCGGCCGACCGGTGCCCCTCCTGCGGGCTTCTCGGGGCGGCTGCAGCGACTCTTAAACGCTCCAGCTGGCGGAACTGGCGGCCGCCCGGCGGGCGGA